AAAAAAAAAAAAAAAAAAAACTTAAAGGCAAGCTAATTTATTTCACTTTCATTCCTCTAGGCAAGGAGCAAATGCCACACGAGATGAGCTGACAACATCTGCGTTCCTGACTGTTCAGTTGGATCGGTCCCTCGGAGGACAGGCTGTGCAGGTTGGGATATTTTTACCCCCAAAACTCACACAAGTTAAAGTCTTGCTAGCTCCATGGATAGCTATAGCTCCCTCCCAAGTTGGGATAGAAATTTGACATTTTCTTGATATGAACTCTGTTTTCATATTGAAATTCAAATATTCCTACTCTCATTTCAAATTAGTTCTCTCAGATTCTGGAAAGGAGGGAACAAACACAAGCAACAAAAACTATCAACAGATTTAAGATCCCAAAAGAATCTTCCCATTAGAATCACACCCTATGTCAGTGATAGTCGCTTGACATTAAAACGGTTTTACCTGTATTATTGTTTCCAGCTGTTGTTCAACAGATACGGTAGGCAGAATAATCCCCCAAGGTGTTCATGTCCTAATCCTCAGAACCTGCAAGTGTGATATGTTACAAAGCAAAGGAGAGTTAAGGTTGGAGATGGAGTTACGGTTGCTCATCAGCAGATCTTAAGCTAGGGAGATTATCTGGGATTACTGGGTGGACCTAGTGTAATCACCAGGGTCCTTATAAGTAAAACAGAAAGCCAGACAGAATCAGAGGGATGCAGCATGGGAAAGACCAACCAGCGATCACTAGCTTTGAGGATGGAGGGAACAATTACATATTATATAGTTTGCAAATTGCTAGAAGGAGAATATTGAACATTCCCAACACAAAGAAATGATAAATATTTGAGATGATGTTATGCTAGTTACCCTAATCTGATCACCATACATTGTATGTACCCCATGAATATCTACAATTATTAATCAATTAAAAAATAAAATTAAAAATAAGAAGATGGAAGAGAGTCCCTAGCAAAGGAATATGGGCAACCTCTAGAAACCAGAAAAAGCAAGGAATAGATTCATTCCTAGAGCCTCTAGAAAGGACTATAGCCCTGCAATAGCTTGATTTTAGCCCCATGACTAAATCGTTATTCCACATTTTAGCCCAGTGATCTATCTAAATTAACCCCATAACTCATTTCAGACTTCTGACCTCCAAAACTGTAAGATGATAAATTTGTGTTGTTTTAAGCCACTAAATCATAGTAATTTGTTACAGCAATTATGTAACAAATTATAATTTGAGAAATAAATACAACAGTACAGAACAAGCACAGATTAGCAATTCTAATTAATAGGTAGAAAAAAGACTCATTTTCTTACACTCTCAAATCATAAACATGCGTAAGTTATGTTTTGCACAAGTAAACAGAAATAAATCTTGATAAAATAGCATGAGTCCTTATATTTCCCTTTTAGGTACCAAAATCTTTACTGAAACAAAGTCCATCACCCAAAAGTGAGGGAGGAAGTGGTGGAGAGGGAGAAAGCATGAACAGAAATGGGAGGGACAAAGAGAAAAGATAGGGAGGAAGGGGAAAGAAAAGGGGAAGGAGGGGAGGAGAGGGAAGAGAAGAAAGGGAAATCATGGAGGAAGAAATGAGACAAGTAGGAAGGAGGAGAGAAGAGGAAGGGCAAGGGAGAGGACAGTGTGAGAGGGAGGAGAGATATATTTTTTTATTTGGGTATTTCTGAAAAAAAAAATTACTTGTCGAGAATGACTAAATCCAAATTCAAAATGAAAATTTCATGTAATTAAAAATGAGTCAACTTTTTAGTATATCTATGTAACTTATCTATCTATCTTATCTATCTCTATCTGGAGACAGAGAGAGAGATTAAAATAGAGAAAAATGGGCAGGAAAAGATAATATACTGCTTTATTTATTATAAAACTTTAAATGTTATACAGTGTCAGACAATATCAATGTCTAGTTCTAGATCTCACTGTGTCTAAGAGACTGCTGTTTCTAGCCTGGTTCAACCTTCTGTCCTCTCCTAAGTTCAACTGCTCCTCCTTTTATATTTATGGTGGAGTATCTGCTACTTGTTTCAGGACCCTTATTAGTTACCATGAAAAAGTTTAGGTCTTTGTTTTTTAAATTCCCTTACTGTATAAGTGACATACAGACTTCAAGGAGACCCTGTTTTCCTCTAGTGTGCCCCAGTGTGTCTGTCTGCTTTCTTGTTCATTCTGGGAGAGGGCACTTGCTTGTTCCTTTTCCCTACAGCTGGCTGGAGCTTTCTCTCTCCCTCTCTCTCATTCCCTGTGTCTTCCTAGCTGGAGCTGCGCACACTGCTGCCTGTTTTCTGCCTGCCTGTTGTCTTTGGCCAGTTTTTGAGAAGCCATCTGCTCCTATCTGGTGGGAAAAGCATCTTACAGATTAGAGTTCAAACGGAAAGCAGGTGCTTACTTGGCCAGTGCAGTGATGTTTCTGATACAGCAGCATTAAACACTCCCTTTGCATGGTTGTGCCTGTTTAACTTCCTCATTCCTGGTGTCAAGGGAGCTAAGATTCTATATGGTATAAAAGGGTTTTTCTGTCTTGTTTACAAATCTTTGTCAGTGTGTAATTGCTTATTTTAATATAATAATTAAATAGAGAGGCAAGTTAGACACTTTAGAACATAAAGTGTAAGATGTGGAGGCTGAAGTTGGTCTTCCAGCTGGTTTCCTTCCCATCTTGATACAAGTTAGTAGATACATAAAACAAGTTACATCTAAATTTAAAGGTACATATTAACTTTTTAAAAATAACTTGCTAATTTTTAATTAACAAATTAATGAGATGACTGCATTATTTAAATGCACTCAATTCTATGAAATTTAGTTGATCTTTAAGTTATTACTTACCAAACTGTCACAAAAAACTTTGAAGATATGCATTGTCTTACATATTTCATATTTCATAGTACTATATTTGATACACTTGATTATGGGTTTCCATGAATTGTTAGCCAGTTGAATCCTAAATTGACAACAAAATGGTAATTTTTAGTTTAATCACTAGATGGCAATAGCTTACAATAATGCATGAAAAAACTAAAGTATTGCGGTTTTCAATGCTCCTTTGTAGAATATATTAACCATTAAAATTACTTTTAATCAACCTTTTGTCTTTCTTATTCTCCTTTGACAGTAAGAGATGGGCCTTAATCAGTGTTTCACTTTCTCTCATGTTGGCAATTAAAGTTTTCTCCATGTTATATGAAATGCTAAGCCAACAGTTTTAGGTATTTGTGAGACCATAACTGACAAAACATTTCCATAATTTGCTGCTCACTTATTTGAATGCCTACTAATTGAAATATATTTATGAAGTCAATTATTTTCAATGCCTTTAGGCCTCCCTCTAATGGTACATGCATCAGCATTCCCATTCACCTGGCTTCTAGAAAAAGACAAACCAGGGGAAGTGAGACGGTTCAATTTTCGCATAGGGCAGAACAAATGAAAACAACGGGAGACTGACATGAAATTTGAACTCTTTATGTAAATGCATCAATAGTTTGTGTGAGAAATAGGAAATTCTAATCCAATATTTGGGGCTAATAAATAAAATCAAGCAAATAATTTCCTTTTTTTTTCAATTTCCTCATCCTGAAAAATCTTTTTTTAAAAAAAAAAGACTTATTTTTTAAAAAATCTTATTTTTTAAAGTTTCTTATATTAAGCATATCTACTATTACATTTCTATAGGTAAGTTAAAAAGTAGAAAACATATTCTGTTTATTTTTGCCCGTTTTTAATGCTTGTATAGAAATCTTTGTAATTTTTTTTATTTTACAAATACAGAGATATAGAAATAATGAGTATGGCTTGGGGTCATCTTATGTTGTAAAGCATTTGAATGCACATCTCTTAACCTTCTGAACCAGATCCAAAAACATGAGATTCTAGTACCTCTGTAAGTATCTGTAAGTGTTACTGGCGCCCTTGAAAGAAGAGCGATTTTCACTTAAGATTTTCACATAAGGTCGCAGACACCAGCACTTTGGTGTTACCTTGTCTCTTTCGGAGATGTAACAAACAAACTTAAATCTTCATACTTTTCAAAAACAGAAAGTATTGGAGCATGGTGATGTTTCCCCTGACAAGAAACTACTCAGGGACACCGTGCCTGCAAAAACAAAAGATTCTTAAGTCACCAAGGAAAACTGATTTTCATTAACCTATATTTTCTGTTAATCATCATTTCTCCTGCTCTTGACTTTTTATTTTTTTTATTTTCAAAAAGAAAACATAAGAACACATTTGGAACTAAAACCTTCTTTCACGGTACTCTTAATTATATTTTTTTTATTCCCCTTCTCCCCCATCAGATCCGAGTCTCCCAAGGCAAAGAGCCTATTCACCTGCTGAGTTTGTTCAAAGACAAACCGCTCATTATTTACAAGAATGGAACATCAAAGAAAGGAGGTCAGGCACCTGCTCCCCCTACACGCCTCTTTCAAGTCCGGAGAAACCTGGCATCTATCACCAGAATTGTGGAGGTAATGTCATGCATTCCATAAAACATGTCCTAGTTGTGGACTTCCCAATGGACCTGAGCCATCAGCAAATATTAGACTTTAAAAACTTGGCAAATAAACTCCCTTCATTTCTATAATTAATCCACTGTTCAAAATTTTAAAAACACTAATAGCAGGAGAGTTGAGTAAAAAGTAAAACTCCAGATACCAGGCCTCTCCTATTTTTCAATTGCATTGAACCCAAACAAATAAATTTTTAAGAATACTATCACAAATTAGCTATCAAAAGCATGAGGCTTCTTAAGCTCCATCTTGAAAGGCCTGAGGTGGATGGATCACAGGTGATGGTCAGGTGATTGACCACAGTGGAGACATTTGAGAGGGAAGGCCCTCGTTTGCACAAGTGTAACAAATATGGGAGGCATGTCCCACCACACTGGACCAGAACCGTAACTGAACTGGCCCCATGAGCTGTTTCTGACAGCAGCTGGGAGAGAAATCAGACCCCATGCCATGGTGCCATAAGATAAGGAGACCTCCAGGTATAGACAAGGCCAGTCTGCCCAGGTTTTTAAATAGCTAAGTGCTTTGACCTTAGGACAATCCTGTCACCCCAGTCACCATTGAAATCTAAGTCTTCCACATCACCCTTACACTGCCCGGCATACTCTGCATATCAAGCCTGGAGCTGTCCCTCAAACTCCCCCTCCATACAAGTCAATCAGCAGACCCTTGAAACCCGGGTTGGTCATCTCATCCCTCCACCTGTGACCTCTTCTCTAAGCCTCCCTCTCCCTGCACCTGATTTCTCTACGACTGTCCTCTGAGGACAGATTCCCCTGCAGACCTTCTCAAGTGGAACTTGTGTTTTCCCAAGGCCCACTCACCACGGCCTCAGGGATGGGGCTGGACAAGTTCCCCCTCCCCCCGCCCCCGCTCACCTTTACCTCTTTGATTTTATCTTGCCTCTCTCCTTTGTATCAGACTTTCCCTCCTCCAGACCTCTTGTGCTTTCATAGACTGAACTGCCAGTCCTTCTCCTCTTCTTTGATGACTTCAGCCATTATCTCACTATTTCCATCTCTTTGGCTTCTCTCTTCCAGCAGTCTTTTGCTTGACCGCATTTCATCTCACACTCACATGGTCCTATACTAAATTTTGCCATTTGCAATAACTATAGCTCCTCAGAAATCTGTTCCAGTCATCTAATCTCTGACAACTCTCTCCTGTCCTTTGGCTCCTTTACTCTAGAATGCACATTCTGGCAATTCTCCAGGCCTATAGCTGAATCCATGAACCCGCTGCCTCCTTCACACCCCACCCTTCATGTCCTCCTTTCTCCCCAGATCCCCAGCATCCCCTTCTCTCTACTGATAACTTTAATTTAGAGTTCACAGAGAAGATAAATCAGGCATAAATCATCTTATCTACTCCCCTGCAACTTTATCAATTTGTCTGCATCTATGTATATATTCTCTTTCCCTCCTGTTTTATGAAATAAATATCAAATTTGTATTTATATTTTTAAGTTAATAAATATTTTATATTAGGAAGTTCCATATATGAAGTGTCTTATAAGTGATTATATACTATACATATTACATATATACTATTATCCATAAATTAGCAATGAATAATGTATTTGTATACAGTTATATATCAATAAATAGTTTATTAAATGTTTATTACATAGACTATCCCTCCTATCTAAGGCCCAATTCCTCCTCCGCCCACCTGGCCACCAACTTCTGTCTGGATCCTTCCCTTTCTTGCTTTCCTAAGAAATCTCCTGGATTTCTGTCTTTCCCGTGCATTTATTCCACTTCTAGTTCATCATGATTGCAAGCAGTAATCTCCTTTCATTCTGTATCATCAATTTATTTTTCTATGTGAAATCATTCACTTTGAACTACAAAGATGACTGTAACAAAAACCTCCTGTCATTTCTTTAAAAACTGTGTCTTGACCTTGACCATTACCTTCTCTAGCTACTGCATCATTTCTCTGTCCTTCTTAAGAGCACATATCATTGAAAGGTTTGTCTTGAGTGTTTTCACTCACTCATCATCTCTACTTTTTAGAGCCAGTTCTTTCTAAAACCACCTCAATCAGGTGTCCATCCCACTAGTCCACTGAATTGGTTTTTATCTAGTTTGCCGGTGACCTGCCGCATGCCACAATCAAAGGTCACTTTTCTGATCTCGTTTTTCTCAACTTCCCACTAGCATTTGCCAGTCAGCCTTTCCAGTTTTATTGAGCACTTCTTTTTTTCACTAGGTGAATGTATCCCCACACTTACCATGGTTTCTTCCTAACCTATCGGCCACTCCTCTCGGGCCAGTTTGCTGTGTTTTCCTCTTCTGTTTGACCTCTCAGTTCTTCAGTGCTCCAAGCCTCGGCCTTGGCCCCTTCACCATGGTCTCATTTAGTCACATAGTATAAATGCCAGCGTATGTATTGATCTTATCCAGAACCTTCTGTGTATGGATTCTTCTATGTTTAATTATGACTATTATTTTTTGACATTTAAAAACTATCAAAATGACATTTAAGCATTCATTATCTATGGGCATTCTCAGTTGATTTCAGATGGGAAAGTCAACCAAAATGCACCATTCCTACATTCTGATTTCTTCCCCAGTGGACATTCCTTTGTGAGACCTCATCAGCTGCTTGCAGTGCATCTCTTTATTTCCTTGCGGCCTCTCAAACCAGCTTTCACATTCCCAGCCTCTCTGAAATGCACCAGTCAAGATCATTTCACAAGTCTTCCTGTCTTCATCTGCTGGCAGTCTAAGTCTTTATAAGGTTCTGTTTTAGATCTCATTTCCTGATCTCACACCAGTCTGGGCATAGATCTCTTGTCACCTTCTATCCTTCATCCTGGCTCTTTCCTCTGGACCCATAATGAGATGTATATATTAGAAATTGGAAGCTCTGGAAGCCAGACTTGGTTCCTGTAATTCTCCATCATCACATCTGATAGATTCCTTTGAGCTTGGTCTGTGAGGCCTCATTCCTGCTGGGAGAGAATTTTTATCATTTTCCTGAATGTTCCCAATTCCTGGACATGCCTTTAAAACTTTCAACAGTCGTTCCTTCCTCCTCTAGTGTTCTCTCCTTGGACAGGCTCCTGAGAAACCTGGTGAAATTCAACTCTCCACATCGTGGATGCCTTCATCCTGGCAGTTCAGTGTAGATGGCCAAGCAGCATCATCTGGCACAGCAAATCACCCCTGCCTTCTTGAAGCATTTTCCTCACTTGGCCTCAAGATCACTACACTTTTGTTTTCCTCCTCCATCTCAGCTACTCCCCCTCAGTCTTGCTTATTGGTTCTTCTTCCTCTTTCTGGAATCACATATCACACTTGTTCGACAATTATGCAGAAAGTCATGCCAGTGACATAGTAGCACAGTCATATGGTCAGAAAGGTTCTCAGAGAGAAGGACACAGAGTCACAAATTCACAAGTGACACAGACCACAGTGCTCCTACTCTAGGGTTTAAAACACCGTAGTGGTGTCCCAGAGCTGCCCTGAATTAATTTCCTGGGATAGGGCAGAAGGCTATGTATGGTTTGCCACAGTCACAGCTTCTAGGACATGTTTATTGAGGGAGCAGCAATGCATTTGAATCACTGTTTTATTTTTCTTCATATTCCAGGTTGATGTTGATGCACATTCACTGAATTCTAACGATGTTTTTGTCCTGAAACTGCCACAAAATAGTGGCTACATCTGGATAGGAAAAGGTGCTAGCCAGGAGGAGGAGAAAGGAGCAGAGTATGTAGCAAGTGTCCTCAAGTGCAAAACCTTACGGATCCAAGAAGGCGAGGAGCCAGGTGTGTGCTGTGGAGCCAAGGGCACTAACTAGATTTTATATTGATATGATTGCCAATCATCTTTTTTTCACCAAAAAGCCACTTTCTAACGGTTTATAAGGATTAACAATCTCTCCATTAGTTGCAAAGGTGGGTGGGTGATGGTACCTGATTCCTTTAAGTAACTTCTCAACATTGAAACCAAGGTGAGATGATATTTGTTCATATAAAGCAACAGCAAGCATGTGTTCCTGAAAATGCACTGGATAACTGAGTGTGTTTTCCACAGAGGAGTTTTGGAGTTCCCTTGGAGGGAAAGAAGACTACCAGACCTCCCCACTACTGGAGACCCAGGCTGAAGACCATCCACCTCGGCTTTATGGCTGCTCTAACAAAACTGGAAGATTCATTGTAAGTGTCTTTAAAAACAGTGGGATAGGGCCGGGTGCAGTGGCTTGTGCCTGTAATCCCAGCACTTTGGGAGGCCGAGACAGGCAGATGCCCCGAGGTCAGGAGTTTGAGACCAGCCTGGCCAAAATGTAGAAACCCTGTTTCTAGTAAAAATACAAAAATTGGCTGGGTGTGGTGGTGCATGCTTGTAATTCAAGCTACTTGGGAGGCTTGAGGCAGGAGAATCACTTGAACCCAGGAGGCGGAGGTTGCAGTGAGCCAAGATCGTGCCACTCCACTCCACTCCAGCCTGGGCCACAAGAGGGAAACTCCGTCTCAAAAAAAAAAAAAAAAAGGCGGGGTGGTGGGGGCGGGCGCAGTGGCTCACGCCTGTAATCCCAACACCTTGGGAAGCCGAGATGGGTGGATCATGAGGTCAAGGAGTTTAAGACCAGCCTGGCCAATATGGTGAAATCCCATCTCTACTACAAATACAAAAATTAGCCAGGCATGGTGGTGTGTGCCTATAGTCCCAGCTACTTGGGAGGCTGAAACAGGAGAATCTCTTGAACCCGGGAGGCAGAGGTTGCAGTGAACCAAGATCATGCCACTGGCGTCACTGTGCTGCAGCCTGGACAACAGAGTGAGACTCCATCTCAAAAAAAAAAAAAAAAAAAGGAGTGGGATAGAACCTAACAACACCGGGAGGGGCAGTCCCATGTGGCTCTGACACTTTCAGACGTGCTACTGTTCTGAATCTCAGTTTCTGCCTGCCTGCAAACCATGGTAACAACCTTTGCTCTACACAGGGTTTTTTTTTTAACTTTTATTTTAAGTTCAGGGGTACATGTGCAGGTTCGTTACACAGGTAAACTTGTGTCGTGGGGACTTGTTGTACAGACTATTTCATCACCCAGTTATTAAGTCTAGTACCCATTAGTTATTTTTCCTGATTGTCTCACTCCTCCCACACTCCACCTTTTGATAGACCCCAGTGTGTGTTGTTCCCCTCTATGTGCCCATGTGTTCTCATCATTTAGCTCCCACTTATAAGTGAGAACCTGCAGTATTTGGCTTTCTGTTCCTTACACAGGGTGTTTTTAAGGGTTAATGATGTAATTAATGTGAAAGCATTAATGTTGTGATGTCCTATATAGATTAAGCTGCTCTTAAAAGTACCAGCTACTTTACACCTGTGTGAGCATGCAGTTGCTGTATGAATAGGTATGTGGTTAGATTTGTTAATTTAATAATCTGGCATTTTCTATGGGCAGCAATCATTATTTCTGATCGAACTATGTAAATTTTACATGTCAATTTCCCAGCGGAGTAAAAATTTTCACCATATTGACTGAATTAAAAATATTATGAAAATATTATGATCATTGAGCAAAAATCACAGAAAGCTATATATGCAGTTACAAATTAACTGACATCAACAGGAATGTTTTATTTCATAGTCAATTACAAGCTTTGACTTCCAGTCAGTCAGAAGTAAAATTAGAAGTATGTGTATGCATGTCTTAGTTCAAACTCCTATAACAAAAATACCATTGACTGTGTGGTTTAAACCACAAACATTTATTTTTCACAATTCTGAAGGCTGAGAAGTCCAAGATTAAGGCACTAGCAGATCTGATGTCTGGTGAGGGAACCACTTTCTAGCCTTCTTGTGTCCTCACATGGCCAAGAGAGCAAGCTCTAGCCTCGGTCTTTCCTTATAAGGACGCTAAGCAGGGGCATTGCACCCTAATGGCCTCATCTGAACCTAATTACCTCCTAAGGACCCCACCTCCTACTACCATGCCATTGGGGGTTAGAGGTTTAACATAGGAATTCTGGGGGGAAACAAACATCCAATATAAAAGAATACAAGAGTGATTTTACACTGGGCTCTGAAATATCATCCTGAACCACAGCCTATCACCTAAATTTCAAAAAAAAGTTATACTTTCTCTGTTTCACATGCTAAGTTTTTGCTAAATTTTTCATTTAAAGAATGAATTCCTCTTTTATATAAAATTTGATCTACAGATTTTGGTCAACATGTCCTAGTGAATAAATGCAAACTTTATTTTTCAACACAGGAAAGAAAATTTCCCATGTATTTTGCCAGATATTTTGATTACTAGAAATAAAATTACTTGAGATGAAGTGGTTCAAGTCCCCCTTGAAGCTTATAAATAATTTGACCTACAAGTTAAAGATTTAAACAGTGCATTGAGATAAATATTTGGTTGCTATATACCAAAATTTGCTCACCTACTTTACAGGAAATCCCTGAACTTGCTATATTGTATGGATTTGTCATCAGAAAAATCTGCTGTTTTATTGTTTTGACTGGTAACTTGATATTGCATCCAAGCAACTTATTTTTCAGCATATGCTTTTATAATTTCTTATTTTAATTATTTATTAACATTGCTATAAATTAGATATTTGTTTCCAAGAAAGATGTATTTTACAAAAATAAGTACCTAGGCTTTGTTCTCAGTGTGTTTAAAAAAAAAGAATTGTTAGTCTTTGGCTTTTTGTTATGCACGTATATTAGCCTTTAAGAGAAATATAAATTTTCTCTGCACCAACTCATTTTCTTGTTTGATGTTTGGAACCCCTTCCACTCCCTTTATAGTTTAAGGCAACGGATTGTTGCTAACAAGTATTTGATCTTATAATTACTATCAGAAAGTAGGTTTTACACATGTAGAGTCCTACAAGGCAGCTACAAGGCAGCAGAGCTTATTAGCTAAAAGTACAGCTTTTGGAACCAATCTGCCCATGTGCTGTCACTTACCTGGTGGTAGTACTTGCTGGCTGTGTGACTTTAGGCTGGTTACTGAGCCTAACTGGGCTGTAGTTGTCTCAACTCTAAAATGGTGGTAATCATAGTGCCTACTTCATAGGGTTGCTGTGAATATTAAATTAGCTGTTGCATATAAAAGATTAGAACAGTGCCTGACATCAAGTAAGTGCTATTTAAAGTTTTTCTTTTTAAAATCATTATGTGATTGGTATATGTCCTATAAAAATAATATAAATAAATCCTTTGCCCTCTAAATGGTCAAGGTTTTTTGTTTTATTTTGTATAACAATCTCAAAATCTCATCAGATTACAACAAACATGAATTGTCATGCTCAGATGTCTGCAGGCTGCCTGGAACTAGGTTCATCTATGCTGGGCGCATGTTTTGGGTTTATACATATTTTTCCAGTGACAAAGCCAAAGACACAAAAAGGCCCTTGCTGAGTCACCTTTGCTAATATGACATGGCCAAGGCCCCAGTGAGCTCCACAACACTGCAGAGTCACATGCCAGAGGGAGTGAATAAAGAACTGGGAACCATAATCCAAACTCCTGCCTTAAGGATCCAGGGGGGTTTTCACCCACAATTCTCTAAAAATACTGAACTTTAGATTAATACATGCCCATTGGTATTGGGTGAAGCTAACCCTCCCATTACCCTTTAATGCTATAACTATAATTTAACACAATTAAAAATAAAAAAAAAATTTGTACATGCAATATTATGTTATAATGTCATCTTATTGAAAATTTTTGATTTATTAAAATGGCCAGGCCTATTGACTTTCTCTTTTTTTTTTTTTTTTTTTTTTTGAGACAGAGTCTCCCTCTGTTGTTCAGGCTGGAGTGCAATGGCACAGTCTTGACTCACTGCAACCTCCGCCTCCCAGGTTCAAGCAAGTCTCCTACCTCAGCCTCCTGAGTGGCTGGAACTACAGGCGCCTGCCACCACACCCGGCTAATTTTTGTATTTTTAGTAGAGACGGGGTTTCACCTGTTGGCTAGGCTGGTCTTGAACTCCTGACCTCATGATCCGCCTGCCTTGGCCTCCCAAAGTGCTGGGATTATAGGCATGAGCCATGATGCTCGGCCCTATTGATTTTTTAAAAGTAATCTTGACCTACAAAATGAAAGATAATTTAATACTCGGACCATAAACTCAATGTTTTTAGGAACTAGATAGGCAACATAAATCTGTGAAACAATTAGTCATAAGGGACTGGAAGTATAGCGGATTGTGAGCAAATTGACTATATATGTGGGCAGTCAAATGTGCCAACCTTAGGGATGAGATTTAGAAAATATGATTCAATATATAGTTTATTGAAATGCCAGGCTTGAGGATAGCTACCCGGGAAACACTAACTCCAAATGAATGGGGCCAGTGTTTTAAAGTGGAGGAGTTAAAGTTTCACTGACAATAGGCAGAAACAGAGAAATTATAGCAGGCTTATGTAATTTTTTATATAAGACCAGTGCATACTGACAGTGATTTGATTGGTTACAGATTGCTATTAATACTTTCCAAGGAAGAATACGTTCTTACTTTGTGAGGAGTGGTGATCTGAGGGGGGTCTTAGCTCTGCACCCTTTGGTCTTCCGAATTATTTGCAGAAAAAAAGGCAAAAGCTTGAGTGCATGCCTCAAGACTCAGGCCACATAGCCACATTCCTCTCAAAGCTCAGAATAATTTAAGGTTCCACCAGCTTTATATTTGAATTATTTAATTTCACAAATGCAATGTTTATATTAAATACTGTGCTGGCCAAATAAAATACCACCAGTTTGTGATGCCAAATTAATGATCAATTATTTAAAATTTTATTACCCGAAAAAGAAGAAAAAAATTACTACCAAATTTTATTTTCATTATACTCAAAAAAAAAAATACAGGGCATTTGTATCCTATGTATTAGAAAAATCACTGCTTTACTGTTTGCTCATATAGCTTTTTATACCTTTCAGATTGAAGAGGTTCCAGGAGAGTTCACCCAGGATGATTTAGCAGAAGATGATGTTATGTTACTAGATGCTTGGGAACAGGTACAACTACATTTTGTTCATAACAAGAGAATGCATTCTTGGTTGAAAGATGACAGAACTTGCTTTGAGAAATGGTAAATCTAGATATAAATGAGCCTAGAGATTTAGGCTGTATTAAAAATACACACACATTTGGTAAAAAATGAAACTAATACATATGGCAAGTTGATTTCTTCCTATGAAAATAATTCCAGAGCTACCATCTTTGGCTTTACAGTTATAGGCAAAAAAACTGTTATTTTTCATTTATTTGTAAAAATTACTCATTCCTAATTTGTTTATAATTCATTTAATAAGTGTATTAGTGTGTACAGTGTCATGGGGGTACAATGCCATTGAGGAAACCAACATATTCAAAATTTCTCTTGAAATTTGACAAGAAGTCATGGGTGCCCCTCCCCTGGGGAAGAAACAGACAGAATAGTTTTGAATCTACACAGTAAAATATGTTACTGTTTTATTTATCTTAATTTTCAAGGAAATTAATGGTGATTTGACATGCCACATCTCATAGATTTTTAACCTCTATGTAAATTAACAGTGAAAGAGAAAAGTAAATATATTATGAACTAAATTATATAGAACAAGTGTGAAATGCTTATCTGAATTAGGCCTAGTCTTAGAGGCAAGCACAGAGATTGTTCCTTTTAAGTTTGTTCCCAACTGATAAAACATTCAGTTATATCACACCCTCGCTTCTGATCTACAATGACCATGTTTGACTTGAGGGCCCAGCCTCAGATTCTTGCCAAGTGAATGGAGTACTTATTTCTAGATGAGATTTAAATCTCCAAGTCAATAAAGCACTCTTGTGTATTTAAGAATTAAAGAAGAATTACACTTCCTTATTCAGATATATATTTAATTTTTCTCATTTGTAGTCAACTCTTGTTTCTGTAACCATGGATACTTTTTAGAATATTTACCAAGCCACATTTCATTTTTTAAAGTCATACTTTTTATTTACATTACCATGCTGTCATGGTTTGTTCTGTGCCCTGCACACAAATATTTCAGCACTTTCAGTATGAATTAGAATACAGTCTAAACATAACTGACCAAAATTGCTCTGCCACAAGTGATTTTAAAGAGATTTCAATATAAGGTAATTCAGGAAATTTTTTCAGCATTAAAGTACCCCCACCAACACATTTGATAAGGAGAAGGATATATACAGATTGTATAATTATATAATTATATCAATTTTTTAAAAAAATTGCTATTTAAATACTAAACATTATAGCATTTTTACCAACATCTTATAGGGAGGGCACGCTACTAGAAGAGAAAAACACTAACCTTAAGTCAGAGGTTGCTGGAGGGAGTCTGGGATCACCCACAGACAAGCTCTGTGTCTACATGTAGTCCCTTCCAGCTAAGATCCACATCTAGGAAATGGGGATAATGACTGTGTAAGGGCCCAGGGAAAATTTCCCCTTCACTCTCCAAATGTTCATATAAAAATCAGTTGATAAAAGGCAGATTAATAGGAGAACAGGCATACAAATATATTAATGTGCACAGGAGTCATACAGAATGCAAGAACTGAAGAAATGGCTGGATGGTTGATGTTTTTGTACCATTTGGAAGTTACAGAAAGAATGGGGGATTGGAGGATGGCAAAACTGGTTATGGGAGTAGAGGCCTGGCTAGGAAAGGTGGTCTTGTTATGAATAAAACCTCACATAAAGTATAGATGGTAAATGTTTCTTTCAGACCTTTAAGGGTGTGAGACTCTCAGTTAATCTTCCCTAGATCCCGAAAAGGGAGGGCCTCAGAGAAAGCCCGGCTGCACCAATGCAGATTCTCTACAGATGCAGCTCTTCCCCCACAAAAGGCAGCTTTGCAGGACTATTTCTCTTTGCAAGCCCTCTGAACAGCCATCTCAAAATATGTCAAAGAAGTGTATTCAGAGGTGAAATATTTTGGTTTCCTTCGACTGACTGCTGTCACGCCCTAGGGGGTGGATGAAAAAAAAATCCACCCAATCTGTTGTTTTTGTGAAAGATCACTTTACAAACTAGAAAATACCATGTAAACATAAAATATCCAAGTGTGAAATCTGAAGTGAAACTGGCTAAATGTAAGTTTAGGTGTCTCCTGATGAGTGTGAACACTGGGAAAGTGATGGTACCTTTCTGGGCCACTGCCTCCACGTCCCTAACTTCTGCGAATGTTGTGAGGATTCAATGAGCAGTGTGTGCGTGAAGCACTTTACACAGGGCCTAGCCTGAGTCAACATCCCAGAAACCATACATATTGTTATTGTTTCATTTTTCAGATATTTATTTGGATTGGCAAAGATGCTAATGAAGTTGAGAAAAAAGAATCTCTGAAGTCTGGTAAGCTCAATTGATGGACAATTATAGCAGTAACCGGGCACCATTATGACCGAGTGTCTGACTGCTCTTTGCCACCATGTCTTACAAAACTACATTTCAAAATCAAGAAGTAGCTTAGCATTCCTCCTCAAAACTAAAGAGTAATGGGATTTTTTGAACTGGAGAATTTCCAGATGGGCACAAGAAAAAAATATGTTTTGTTATCTAATTTAGAATAGAATTATATCAATTTAACCTGAAAAACTTAAATTCATTTCAACCCTTGTTTTATTATGATAAGAGTAAAACCTCCATGACTGTGATACGCCAGATTTTTTAAACTTCCTTTTGACTAAAGCTGTTCTTTCTGGCACAATTTTCCTTTTACTGAAAAGTGTAACAATAATTATGCCACCAGAACAATTCTATAAAACTTGGAATTTTTTCGGGCATTGATGAGACTCGCATGTTGCTTTTCATGGCAGATGAGAGAAACCAAAAAGAAATTGTATTTGTCTACCTGGTCAATGGCAATTTAATTTATTACTTTCATTTGAAGAACTGTATTCGAAGAATTTTCATTTTCAATGTGGCCAATATTTATTTGCTCTTCTGAAATTTAATTTATTACTTTTATTCGAAGAATTTTCAATCTGCAGTTACTTTAGTTTAACCCAAACTAACCGAATTTATGTGTCTTTACAACTGTTTTTAGCCAAAATGTACCTTGAGACAGACCCTTCTGGAAGAGACAAGAGGACACCAATTGTCATCATAAAACAAGGCCATGAGCCACCCACATTCACAGGCTGGTTCCTGGGCTGGGATTCCAGCAAGTGGTAAACTGGTGTTTGTAAAAAGCAAACAAACATTACAAGGCAGTTATCTCATTGCTCTTTTGGGAGAGGAACAGGAAAAGCTTTTTGTTTATTTGTCTTTAGAAAATTAAGGCCAGGTACAGTGACTCACACCTGTAATCCCAGCACTTTCGGAGGCTGAGGCAGTCGGATCATTTGGGGTCAGGATTTCGAGACCAGCCTGGCCACCATGGCAAAACCCCGTGTCTACTAAAAATACAAAAAAAAAAAAAAATTAGCTGGGCATGGTGGCGCATACCTGTAATTCCAGCTACTTAGAAGACTGAGACCGGAAAATTGTTTGAACCCAGGAGGCTGAGGTTGTGGTGAGCCGGGATCGTGCCACCACACTGCAGCCTGGGCAACAGAGACTCTGTCTCAAAAAATAAATGAATAAATAAAAGTAACCTCAATCAAATGCCTATTTTTTAATGCTTAATTTTGGTTTGAAATTCTTCTTAAACTGGAGCTTTCTTACGTTAATACATTCAAATAACCTGAAGGAAACTTTCATTATAAGCCAATATTAGCTCTTCTGGAAACTGATTTATATCTTTTTTATGACCTTTCAAAAGTAAAATACTATGCATAATCTAGAGAGATTGTCAGATAGGAAATTTTATAATGCATTGGCCATTAGTCAAACTTGTTTTTTAACATGCCAGAGAAAAAGTTGTAATGCCTTGGAAGTTTTTCTCTTTTCTATAGATCATGTTCAAATGATTTGTATACTTGCAATAAGGTTTATGTTAAAGTGGCTTTAACAATTTGTTGCTATTTTCCTTCTTTAGTCAATGTGACTTTGATGCCATTAACTCCTACGTGTTATTTTCTAAGAGAAATTTTATCCTTTTTAAAAACCTTATTAAAAGTCTTTGAAAGCACAGCTCTTTCATGACAAAATGAATTGCATTGTTATCCACTTAGATAGATAGATATTTGACAGTACATGTTTAATATCACAAAAGATACATACAGAAAAACTTCACTAATGCTGTCTTTAATTATTAAAATACATCTCTTTGAAAGTTTTGTGTTATGACATTTTATTCAAATTTGATGAGTTAATTACACTATTAATTTTAAGGTCAAATACATCTATGCATAAGTAGATTGAGTTTAATATTTCTTAATTCATCCTCATTAAGTGGTCAAAATTAAACAGCTGTTCATGGTCAGATCATTATGAAAATTTTGAAATACGAGATTGCATGTGAAACACAGGTCCCCAGAAAACAGGAGTTGGGACAGAATCTGGAGCCCCAGTAAAGTAGGAACTGAATTTGGTCATTGGATAGAGGACTGGGTAGTTGAGGAGGGGAAGCTGCATTTCCATGGGAAGAAGAAACGAAGCAGGGAAGTGATCTGAGGAGTTTTTACCTTTTCTCTGGGGAAATGAAGGGCATATGTGTTTCAAATTGAGTCCTGGTATGGAGAAGTGGGCCCAGTTTTATTATGGCCTAATAGTGAATGCTCCCGTGAAATCCTGGAGCTTGCATAGGAGGTAAGGAATCAGAGAGAAGCTGTACTTCAAGGCACTATTCATTCAAAATGTCTATTCAGTATCAGGCACTATTTCAGGCACTTTGGACTCAACATGAATGAAACAGACAAAATCTAAACTTTTATGGAGTTTATATTCTAGGGAAGAGAAAAAAAACAAAAAGCAAAAACAAATCAACACATAGAGATATTATAAAATACATTAGAAGATATGCCCTGTGGAGAAGAAAATTTAGGAAAGGAGCTAGGCAATACTAATAGTATGGTCAAGGGAAGCGTGGTTAAGTAGGCGATATCTAAACAGAAAATCGAGGCCAGGCACGGTGGCTCACGCCTCTAATCCCAGCACTTTGGGAGCCTGAGGCAGGTGGATCACTTGAGGTCAGGAGTTCGAGACCAGCCATGGACAACATGGTGAACCCCGTCTCTACTAAAAATATAAAAATTAGCCAGGCGTGGTGGCATGCTCCTGTAATCCCAGCTACTCAGGAACCTGAAGCAGGAGAATCGCTTGAACCTGGGAGGCAGAGCTTGCAGTGTGCTGAGATCACGCCATTGTACTCTAGCTTGGGCAATAAGAGTGAAACTCTGTGTGAAAATAAATTAAAAAAAAAAAAAAAAAAAAAAAGAATCGATAGCAAGTGGGGAGTGAACCTCAGGGTTACAACCAGGCCGAAGGAGTACCAACAGCAAAGGCCTTAAAAGGAAAGCATGCCTAGTAGAATGGGCTGAAGTCTAAAGAAACAGGGAGATTCTACAGGGTTATCTTCTACTGTCACCACTGGACCAGAAAAAAAATCAATGCAGCCTGAGCTGCGAGAATACTGCTTTTCCAAATCCCAAACCCAGGGAATCAGAGGCAGTGATGGTAACAAGACAGCAGCATCAGGCTGGGCGGTGGCTCATGCCTGTAATCCCAGCAGTTTGGGAGGCTGAGGTGGGTGGATCACGAGGACAGGAGATTGAGACCACCCTGGCTAACACGGTGAAACCCTGTCTCTACTAAAAATACAAAAAATTAGCCGGGCATGGTGGCGGGTGCCTGTAGTCCCAGCTACTCAGGAGGCTGAGGCAAGAGCATGGCATGAACCCAGGAGGCAGAGCTTGCAGTGAGCTGAGATCACGCCACTGCACTCCAGCCTGGGCAACAGAGCAAAACTCTGTCTCACAAAAATAAAAAATAAAAAGACAGCAGCATCAATAGCACAAGCACTGTGGGAAGGAAGTACCTATGCCCATTGCCCAGCCTGACCAGTAGAGGTGAACACAAATTGTCAGCAACTATAGCTGCTATTGCAAGAATACTTACGAGCCCTATGGAGTTGGCACTTTAATTTCACAACTAAAGCTGATGTGGCTTGAAGAAACATCTGCAACACAAGTAAAATCCAGATAAAACAAAAACAAAACCTACTTCTAAAAAGGTGAACATTTGCGGGATTAAAGAAAATTATTCTAGAGAGTGTTCTATTGTTCAATGATACTGTGTAGTCTTAAAACTCAAATTACATGTAATTCCTTATAGAAATTAGTCCTTTGGAATTGAAATGCAGTTTCATATAGCCTAATTAATAAATGGAAAAGTTTTATAATTACTTTCTTATTTTTCTTTGGTGAAGCTAATATTAATTTTTAATACGAAATACTAGATTTCTTTCTTCTCTGCTTTTACTCATGGATTTTGGGGATCAGAAACCAAAATAAATGTATTTATCCTCAGCTACCAGTGCTTTACAGACCCTTTCTTGCCCCAAACAATATAGCACACTCCTAGTTGTGTGAAATTTATGACTAATAAACACTATATATATATGGATATATATATATATAAATATATCCAGAAAAATCAAGTACTAATCAGAAATAATTAATCTGGTAAGAAATAATAAACTGGGCACAGTGGTATGTGCCTGTAGTCCCAGTTACTTGGGAGACTGAGGCGAGAGAAAGTTTAAGGCTGTAGTGAGCTATGATAGCAACTGTGAATAGCCACAGTACTGTAGCCTGGGCAACACAGTGAGATTCCATGTCTACAAAAACAAAAATAAAAATAATTTTTAAAAGAGTAGCACATCTCAAGAATTAAAGAATCAAATTATGGCATTACTTTGAGCAAAAAACCAGGAAACATAGTTCCCAGGTAAAATCAACAATTGTTTTATGGCCTTAGCTATCATTTGTTTGCTTTGTTTTGCAAGACAATCAGTAAACTGACTTCAAAACAATTTCTGGATTGTATAGATTATTCAGAGGGCTGTAATTCTAATCAAAATGAAGAAAAGAATAATAATATTCACTATATATACAGGATGGCTGTGTTGTAATTTTTAAATGCATTTTCAAAAATTGTTTGCCTTGCTCTGTCATCTTATTTTCTCTTCACTATGTTGACTCCCCTTTTAATTTTAAAGACTTATGTTAGATTTTTTAAAGTATGATATGTATTATGCATATTCTCTAAAAAATTTTTTTTTATTAAATACCAACTGAAAAAAAAAAATAAATAAATAAATAAATACCAACTGAGCTTATTGTGCTACCTAAAATATTCATGATGCAATGCTTTGGTCTTAAAGGAAAAACAAAAGTTGGATCCACATCTTACTATATGTGCCTGGATAAATTTCATGTAGTTCACAAATTTTAATGTGAAAATGAAACATGAAAATAGTGGAAGAATACACGGAATTACATTGGAAGAGGGAAATCATCTCATAGTAGCTTACAGAATAAGAAGAAAATCAGCAAGAATCGAAAAGACTTGAACAATACTTTCAACCAACTTAACTGATTTGATATTACTGAACACCACCAATAATACCAGCATGTATATTTGTTTTTTAAGGGAACTTGAAATATTTACCAAGATAGAAAATATTCTAGGCCATAAAACAAATGCCAACAAATTAAAAAGATGAAATCATACAAACTGTGCCTCTAATTACAATGGAACTAATTGAGAAATCAAAAACAGATATCTGGCAAGTCCCCAAATTTGGGTAAAAGAAGAAATCACAAGAGAAATTAGAAAATTTTTAAAAGGAAATTTATAGCATTAAATGCTTACATTAAATAAATAAAAAGCCCTCAAATCAATAATCTAAGTTCTTATCTTATGAAATTGAAAGATGACAAATTATACCCAAAATAAGCAGAGAAAAGGGAATGATAAAGAATAGATTTTTTAAAAACTAGAAAATAAAGTCAAAATTTCATTCTTCTGAATCATAAAATGATAAAATTCTAGCCAGACTAATAAGATAAAAGGGGGGAAACATAAATTACTAACATAAAGATTAAGAAGGATACCACCACTGATCCTATGGACGTTAAAATATGTAAGAGAAATAATTTATGCCAATAAACTTGACATTGATAAAATGGATTCATTGGGAGGCAGAAACTACTAAAGCTAACTCAAGAAGCCATGGACAGATAATCTAAGTAGGAATATGCACGTGCATGTGCATGCACACACACATACACACACACACACTAAAGAAATTAAATTAATCCTAGCAGTTTGTGAGGGCAAGCCAGGTGGATCACTTGAGCCCAGGAATTTGAAATCCGCCTAGCAACATGCAAAACCTCATCTCAACAAAAAATACAAAAATTAGCTGGGCATGGTGGTGAGTGCCTGTGGTTCCAGCTACATGGGAGGCTGAGGTGGGAGGATCACTTGAGCCCAGGAGGTGGAGGTTGTAGTGAGCCAAGATTGCACTACTGCACTCCAGCCTGGGCAAAAGAAAGAAAGGAAATAAAAAAGAAATTATAGTCAAACTTTTTTTTTTTTTTTGAGACTCCAGGATTTTCCTCTGTTGCCCAGACTGGAGTACAGTGTCACAATCACATGCACTGCAGCCTGGACCCCATGGACTCAAGTAATCCTCCCACCTCAGCTTCCCAAGTAGCTGGGACTCACAGGGACATGCCACCACACCTGGCTAATTTGTTTTTAGGTTTTGCAGAGATGGGGCCTTGCTATGTTGCCCATCCTGTTCCGGAACTCCTGGGCTCAAGTGATCCTCCCTCTTCAGCCTCCCCAAGTGCTGAGATTAAAAGTGTGAACCACAGTGCCCAGTCTAAACATCTCACAGAGAAAAAGCCCTGCCTGTTTGTGCTTCACTGGTGATTTCTGTTAAACTTTTAAGAAAGTTTACCACAGATTGGGAGGAAAGTAATAAGAAAGTAATAAAACCAGTATTCCTCATAACATGGATGTAAAAATATTAAAAGTTTATCAAATTGAATCCAGCAATATATAACTTGGTTTTATCCCAGGAATTCATTTTAACATTTAAAAATTAATCAATAACTTTCCATATTAACAGACTAAAAACCATTTGAACACCTGAATAGATACAGAAAAGCAGTTGATAA